CAACGCTAGCTGGGGCTACATAGGTAGACACTGTATCAAAATATACACAAAACAAAATGTTTTAAATTTTTTGGTGTCTATTCTGTAGACCACGATAGCTTGACTGGATGCCTGGAATGCTGGGTACACAGAGTAGAGGCTGAGTAAGCATCTGCTGAGCTAGAAAACAGGGCCTCTCAAGACGAAGTCAGCCAAGAGTCCCTGTACCTTCAGTAAGTCTCAGAGCAGCACCTAACAACAACCAAGGGGAACTGTCATGGAAAGACACAGGTGAGAAAGTACTTCAGTGTGCCACAGCCATGGAAACAAGCCTGTTATGCTAACGAAAATCTCCTGACTCCACAAATAAATGAAGAAGGAAACACAGAATCAGACCATTCCCGTTTAAATACTGTACGCTAGGATCAAATAGCCACAAATACAGGATTACAGGTTCAGTCCTCACCAAAGAAATGGTCCTACACGAGGACTAGGAAATAATGCATTTGTTTCCTTGGGAGATAAAGAGAAAATGTATAGTTCTTACAGTTAAAAAAAAATTCCTTTTCCATCTCCATCTCTCTTCTTGCCTTTTCTCCCTGTCTTAGTGTTTCTGTTGCTGTGATAAAACACTTTTGACCAAAAGCAACTGGAGGAAGAAAGGCTTTACTTGGCTCACCCACCTTCCAGGTCACACTCCATCACTAAGGGACTGCACCTTGAGAGCTAACATTCTCCAGGTTGAAGCTTTCTATTTATAAAGCACTGAATCCCGACGGAAGGCACTTCTGTCGAGAGGCACCTTCCTCCTAGTACTGCCGGGAGTCCTCTCCGACAAGATCCTGGGCCCAGTCACTGGCCATAGCTAATCATTAAAAATGGCCAAAAGGGCTGGGGAAATGACTCAGCAGTTAAGAATACTTGTTGCTCTTGGAGAAGTCCCGGATTCGATTCCCAGCACCCAACCGTGACTTATAACTAACTATCTGTAACTCCAGTTCCAGGTGCTCAGATGACCTCTTTCTTCATATCTGGACACCAGGGGAAACATGTGGTACATATTCAGGGAAAACACTCACACACATATAAAATAAATAAATCCTTTTAAAAATGTTAAGGTAGCTTAGGAAAGAACTGGTAAATCTGAAGAATCAGAACTGTCATTCAGTCTCAGTTTTCTAAGTACAGAATCATCCCATCTGAACATCAATTACTTCAGCTACTTGCACTACCGGGCCTCTCCTATCGCTATTCTCCACTGAAGAACAAAGGCCTAACTGTAGCTTAACAACTGATACGGAGCGATGTTTACAGAATCCATTTTTGGTGAAAATGGCAGCTGAGAGAATATGACTGGTAGTATTAATCCCACTGGTGAGCTCCACCCACACCCATACATTGTACACATTTATCTAATAGGATGCATTCTAAGTTAGCAAGTTTGTAATTTTCTCTTCAGAGAGTGTGTGTACGTGTGGGGTGCTCACATGCCACGGTGTGAAAGTCACTTCTCTCCTGCCATTTGAGGCCCGTAGATTGAACTCAGGTCCTTTGGGTTCTCCGATGTGGCAGCAGGTTCCCTTACCCACTGCACCATCTCCCCAGCACAAGTTCATTACATGGGCGGTTAGCGCCAAATCCAGCCCCCCCCCTTTTTTGTAAGATTTTTATTTTTGTGTCTGTGCGTGTGTATGTGAATGTTTGCCACAAGTGTGTGTCTGAGGAGGCCAGAAGAGGGACCCTGGAGTTATAGGGGGTTGCAACGTACTGTTGTTGGTGCCGAGAACCAAACTCAGGTCCTCTGCAAGACCTAATAAGCAGCGCAAGTTTCCAACTGTTACTTAATCTTCGGTATAACTTCATCTGCCTTTTCTACAGTGAACACTTTTGCCTCCTGACATCATAATTCAAACAGGTGTTCCATTTTCACACTGAACGTGGTTTTGTACTCAAAGTATCACCAGATGTGTCCCTGGAACACAGCTCAACATGTCTGCTACACAGTGCCAGGAAGAGTCCAACCTGTGGCCGAGGCCGGGCTAGGATAGGGGTGCAGTGATGTTTCTAGGCGCCCGCTGTCTATCTAGCAGCAGGGTGGCCCCAGATTCCTGCCTCCTGGACACCTCCACCAGCTTCCCACTTACTAGTTACCCTCTGAACAGATCATGCCATGACTAAAGGTCCTAAGCCACAGTTCAGGATTTCACCTACCACGCTCGGGAGAATCGATGACAAAACAACTCAGGTTACTTAGGCAGAGGTCCAAAAGCTGGAGTCAGCTACTACCCTACATTTCAGGCTATCAAATGCTGGAGTCAGCTACTACCCTACACTATAGGCTATCAAATGCAGTTCCTTTGGATCACAGGGGGAAAAAAAGAGAGAGAGATAATATTTAACAACTTCATCTTCAACTACTTAGTGAATGCTTTTGAACAGGAAGTACTGGCCCTTGATATTTTGGCTCTCTGAAGCTGCCTTTGCAAGTTCTAAGAAGTGATCCACAGGCTTATCACCAGGAACAGGCATCATTACACTACAGGGTTTAAAGGTTCTGGCAACTCAGTCAACCACCAAGAAGAAAGCATCTTAGCTGACAAAATTACCAACAAGGAAAAGCTAGTACAAAGTCGGAGTGAAGCCCAGCGGTGGTGGCGCACGCCTTTAATCCCAGCACTCGAGAGGCCGAGGCAGGCGGATCTCTGGGAGTTCGAGGCCAGCCCGGTCTACAAGAGCTAGTTCCGGGACAAGCACCAAAGCTACAAAGAAACCCAGTCTCGAAAAACAAAAAAGCAAAAACAAAGTCAGAGTGAAGGGCTGGGGATGTGGCTCAGTGGTAGAGCATTTGTCACGATGGAGATCCTAGAGTTTCTCTCCAGCACTGCACAAAGGGAAAAAGTAATACCAGATGGGGCGGGGCCTCTTCAGGGTAGTGTGGTTCGGGGTGATGTAGCTGAAGACCAAAATAAATAAAACGCACCTATAGTCCTCAGAACACACAAGACAGACAGACAGACAGGAGAGCAGAAGGAGGGTAGAAAGAGTGGATGCCAGTCTTCATAGAAGTGTCCTGAGGCTCCCACTGGGTGAACCAAGAGGGCATCGGACGCTGAGCCACATCAGCAACACTCTCAGGGCCGCTCATCCATGTCTAGCAGCATGGTGGCTAGCAAAGCTATCTACTTCAAAATAAACTGCCTTCTCCCCTCCTCCCACCATTATCCTTTAATAAACCATGCACAGCTGAGAACTTCATCCAGTACAAACTCCAACCAAGATGCCCAGCATCCTCACGGCAGCTTTCGATGCAGAAACACAAAAGTGCCTTCTAAAAGGACTCGAAAACTGTGACCACAGAGAGCTGAACCACTCGCTGTCTTTCCGACCACCGCTCAGAGGAAATACCGAGCGGGGGGCCTGTGGGCAAAGAGTGCGCATTCAGATGAAGGAGCTGAGCGCGTTTGAACTCTGACCACACTTCAGGAAACGTCCCACTTGTGGTTGACTCCCGCAAACTAGGGAAGCTTACAAAGTTACCTTTCAACTAGGGTGCTATCACAGAAAGATAATGAGAAACTGACCACTTTACCTCTAGAGGATACAGGGAGAGACTGGTGAACATGGAAGCTGACCCTGTCTCTCTTATCAAGTTACGACAGAGGAAGTGGTTTTTATTTGAAAATTAAGACTAAAAATAGGACCCATTTTACTACTCTCCACTTGAGGTCTGGATTTTAAGACACATATGCAAAGGTCGCAAGGCCCTAGGTCTCTGATTTTACATCCCTGGCCCACCTGTTTCCTCACTTAACAGAGGTAAAAAGTGAGAAGACATTGGGAGGCAGTGAATTTGGCAAAGCACCTACCTACATACTACTGATCAAATTGCAGAAGTTGGGCCCAATACGTAGTACCGTCTTTAGTCCTAGCACTCCGAAAACAGAGGCAGGTGGATCTCTGTGAGTTGGAGGCCAGCCTGGTCTACAGAACGAGTTCCAGGACAACCAGGCTACATAATAGAGAGACCCTGTCTCCAACAAACAAACAAACAAGTAAAATCGCAGAAGCAGAATACAACCTTCACAAATCCAAAATGAGAAGGCGTCTATTAAAAGATAAAGAAGGCCCAGAGGTCTTCAACATGGCTAGGTTGTACCTCTCCCTCCCTGCGTCTTCTCATCCAGGAACACTGTCAACAGGCAGCCTGCCCTGTCCAGGACCCCTTACCTAGACCACTCTTCCCAGGTTCCTAACATCTTCCCAGTCTTGACTGAAATATCACCTTGCAAGAATGAAAGGATGCCTTTCCCCCATTATCGTCTAAAAACCGTAAATTAACTTATGTATATCGTTTACTGTTTCTCTTTTTACGTAAGCTCCCGGGGAACGCGATCTTTGTTCTGTTCACTGATACTTATCACAAGCGTTCAGGATCGTGCCCGGCACATAGTAGGAACTCAGAAATTCATTTCCCCAGTGACTGTGCTTCTTGACTAAAAACTGCACAGATTGGAAGGAGTGAGATGAAAAGGGAGCGGGAGGAGGATTCTCTAGGGAGAAACGGAAAGAGGCCAGGGCCGACCCACATTCCCTACAGCAGCGCCGACGGGGAAGCAGTGCACCACGTCCCGCCAGTGGCATCAAATGGCACTAAAGGCAGCAGGATTCGCGACAGACGAGCTCTCAAAATTCACGGAGAAAGTCCAGGGCATGGCATACCCACCAGGCTGCGGGCTGCTGGAGGAACCCCGCAGGAGTCCCGACCACGCAGCCCTTCTGCTCCCTTCCCCTCCGGATACCTGGGGCGCCCCAGCTCCGGACTCCGGCTCCCGCCCATAGGCGCGGGTGACGAGCGACAGGGCCCTGCCCCAGCACCTGCACAGCCAGCCTCAGGGGTCCGGGCCGAGGCTCGCCCGGAGGCCCCAAGGCGTCCAGCCGCTTCGCCCCGCCCGGCACCCGGCAGGAAGCGCCCCTGCCCCGGCCGCTCCACCCGCCGCCGCGCTCGCCCGGCGCTCTCTCACCTCAGGACGCACGTACGATACGAAAGAAGGCTTGGGCGCCTTGGTGCCGCCGCCACCGCCGACTCCCCCTTTCCCCAGCATTCCCCCGCCTGGCGAAGCAGCGACGCGCGGCAGCAGAGGCGGCGGCTCAGGCTCGGGCTCCGGCAGCGGCCGCGGCCACCAGCACCAGCGGCCGGGGCTCCGCCCATCCCTAGGGCCGCGGCGGCCGCGGTACCGCCCGCATCCGGCTCCGCCGCTGACACGGTTCGCCCCGCCCAGGTCGCGCGCCCCGCCCACCGGCGTGGGACACACCCACTGCCGCTCTCGCTTCGCAGGCTGGGAGGTCCCGCCCACAGCCTTGGAGAGGGCCACGCCCACGCTCTTGTTGGCCCGAGCATCTAAGCGCCTTTTCTGGCTTCTTGCTCGGTTGGTCTGTCTCAGGCAGAGCCCGCCCCCCCCGGGCGTCCTCTGATTGGTTGCGGGGCGCTACCTGAAGAGATATTTGCTCTAGCCAATCCTGAGAGCGTTCTCTCCGGACTGCCCCACGATTGGATAGCGGGAATGTCGCCTTTGTCCAATGATCCTGCGGTCACTAAGTTGTTGCGGGCAGTCGTTCAAAGCCTTGGCTTTAATTATTTGCCAGCACCTTCGAAACTCAGCGTCCGAAAGCTTGCTGAACAGAATCCCTCCGTAGTGGTTTCGAACCCACTGGACGACGTTCAGACTTTAGACAAAAGAGAGACAGAACAGACAGGAACTAAATGGTAGACTGAAGAGACCATAAAATGTTTTGTCAAATTCAAACTTTTGTTCCTTGCATTGTTTCTAACTGGTAAGCCATCAAAAGCCATTAGGAGTTATCTAGTCTCCCAACTTATCGACAAATCTCTCATTTTACGCCAAGATTGTAAATAAAACATACACACCGTTTAAATTCCACCTTTTGGGCACTTGCTACTGCGTGAGACAGAAGAAGACTGCAGTTCGTTAGACTTTCATTTACTGGGACCAGCCAATAAACATTAGCAGTTAAATTTTCAAGTGTCCGGCACCTTGCTGTGCATTGTTCTAAACAATAGGCTTGGGGTTATTTTTTTTTCCTTTCTTTTCTTTTTTTTTTAATCCCAGCTCTTCTTCCCAGAGCTCTCCGAAATAAAATATAGGTGACTAAGTGGGAGTGGCTATGCACACCTGTCATCGCAACTCCTGGGAAGCCAGACAAGAAGATTGTGAATTTGGACTCGGACTACTTAGTCAGGTCAACCTGGGCTATAATAAAATTATCTCAAAAACTAGCAAAAGATTAACTGATTTTTCCAGGTTGGTTCCCAGGAAGAAGTCAAGGGACCGCTCGGTTCAGTTGTGAGAATTGGCCAGACAGATTCTGTTGCTTTTGTTTTCAACATCTGGACCAATTCATGAACAGAAATACTGGCTTTTGATAGAAATTTGCCTAGCAAATGTCCCTCCCCTTCAGGCCATTGTTCATTAAAACATTACTTTAATACCCTGATCTTTAATATCCGCTGATGGCGAGCCCAGTTGTAATATAATATGATTCTGGAAACTTGACACTGTCTCTGATCTACACACTTCCCAGGAATTAAAGCCAGCAAATCGGAGTTTTTAAATACCTAAAAGCCAGCTGGTTTGCCATTTTCTGAATGTGCCCCTTCCTCTCCCCTCCCCACTTCATATGTTAGAACATAACCTCATGTGATATTGTTAAGAAATGGGGCTTGGAAAAAGAGGGGGGGAGGAAAAAGAAGAAAAAGAAAGAAAAGAAGAATAAAAAATAATAATAATAAAAAGAAATGAAGCGCAGCTTCACACAGCAAGATGACCGGATCCTTCACAGATTTGTCGTTCTTGTTGGCCTCTGCCTTTTGCCGGAGGGTTTCAATAATGGAGTGCTCAGGGTTGATCTCCAGCTGCTTCTTTGAAACTGCACTCGTAGGGCTGGAGAGATGACTCAGTGGTTAAGAGCACCCGCTGTTCTTCTAGAGAACCCGGGTTCAATTCCCAGCACCCACATGGCAGCTCACAACTGTCTGTAATTCCAAGATCTGACACTCACAGACATACATGCAGAAAACCACCAATGCACATAAAATAAAATAAAAAGAAAGAAACGTCACTCCTGTCTTCTGGCTTCAGCCTAGAGGATCCCCAGACATTGCTAATGGGATCTACAGGATGATCAAGCTTGGTCGAGGTATTGATGAGGATGATCCTACTGTGGATGATACCAGCGCTGCTGTAACTGAAGAAATGCCACCCCTGGGAGGAGATGACGACACATCACGCATGGAAGGAGTAGACTAAACTTCACCAGAAGTCTATGTTTGATGCTTACTTTCATTCCTTCTGATAATATATTTCCCGGGATTTTTGTATATTTTTGTTAACATTTAAAACATCCGTATGGCGTGAAAACTAAGAAGAAGAGAACATTTCTTTCTTCCTGTGTGATTCTGTGATACTATAGGTTTGATTCAGTAGGTTGGAAGAACATTTATTGTAAGGTATAATGTAACCTATTAACTTCGTGGTCTGAAGTGTTTAGCTGTCGCGCTAGATTCCTTATTAGACCAAATAATTTGGCACTTGGATTTTTCTGAAATATAGCTTCATGCTTAAAAGGAAAAACAGATGGCTTCAGTTTCATCTTAAAAAATTTCATCCCGTATAGTTAAATTCTGCAGGTGCTGGTCTTCGAAGTAAGCACACAAGCTAAAACAACGGAGGAATTCCCTTTGTGATTGGTTTTCCAAAGTACTGAGAATAAAATCCTAAGCTTCCCTAGGTCTTGTAACTCAGTAAGGTCTGTGAGTGGAAATATAGCGCCCGATCCCATTCTGCTTTAAAAGGTAAATACATATGAGAAAAAAAAGAAATGGGGCTTGGAGGGGGTGATTAAGTCCTGAGGGAATGTCCTTATAAGAGAGAGCAGAGGGCTCTGGCTAGCCTTCCCTGTGAGAGGGCTCAACAAGGACAGGGTCACCCTTCCCAACTTGGAAATTACTGATGCCTTGTTCTGCACTTTCCTAGTCTCCAGAACAGTGAGAAGCAATTTCCTGTTATTTATAAATTACCAACTGTAAGGTATTCTGTTACAGCAGCAGGCATAGACTCATACTTGCTCCTAGAGTCAGTTTTCACTCACTGATAAACATTGCTTTTTTTAAGTATATATATTTGTGTGTGTGTGTGTGTGTGTGTGTGTGTGTGTGTGTGTGCCCATGGCGGGGGGATGTCTCATATTCCTTAGGGCTGGAGTTATAGACAGTTATAAGATACCCAATGTTAGTACTAAGAACCAAATTCAGGTCAAGAGCAAATGCTCCTAATTCCTGAGCCGGGCTGAATTATCTTGGTTGTCAATTCAGTGGAATCTGGAATGAACAACAGACACACCTATGGGCAGGTCTCTGAGAACATTTCCAGGAAAGCTTGACTGGGGGGGGGGGGAGACATTCCTCAGGAGTAGGTTGACCTCCCAGCAGGTGAGCCTGACACAAACGCAGAGAAAATCAGTGCAGCTCCCTTGCCTGTCTTAATTCCCACTGGAGAGTGTGCCAACCTTCATTGCTGCAACTGTTGTTACCCTGCACGGATATCAGGCTCCAACCTGGACCTGTGGCTCCCCAAGAATCTTCCAGGCCTTCAGCACCACATTGGGACTGCTAAGGCATCCAGCTCCCTGGACTGAGCAGCCACTAGGTTCTTTGTGTCTCCAGCATGCAGACAGCCATTGCTGAACTACAGGGCCCATATCGGCTGTAAGCTTTTCTAGTAAATTCTGTTTGCAATATAATAGATCCCCTTTACAGTCCTACTGGTTCTGTCCATCTAGCCTTACCTAGCACACATATTTTCTTTAATTAAGGGACAGTAAGAAAGGGAGTGAAGAGAAAACAAACTAAAAGCAGTTTCTATCTTGCTCTTATGGTTATCCAGCTACCAGCATAGGTTCGGTCTTTAGGGTGTGAATCAAATCTCATGAGAAGAGTCATTCCCACTGTCTGAAAAACCTGTCCTACCAAGGATATTCTAATCTCTATCTGTTGGTAAACAGCTGGGCCTGGAAGATAGCTCAGCAGTTAAGAGCACTCTTTCAGAGGACCCAGAACTTATATGGTGTCTCACAACCATCTATAACTCCAGTTCTAGGGGATCCAATTGCATTTTTTGCCCATAGAGGGCACGTGCACACATGTGGTGTCCATGAATACACATGAAGGCAAAACATTCATATAAAATAAAAATAAATATTTTTTAGAAGAACACGCACTCGGGAAGCAGAGGCAGGCGGATCTCTGTGAGTTCGAGACCAGCCTGGTCTACAGAGCTAGTTCCAGGACAGGCTCCAAAGCCACAGAGAAACCCTGTCTCGAAAAACCAAAGAAAGAAGAAGAAGAAGAAGAAGAAGAAGAAGAAGAAGAAGAAGAAGAAGAAGAAGAAGAAGAAGAAGAAGAAGAAGAAGAAGAAGAAGAAGAAGA